TGACGTCCTGTAATTACGTACTGTAATTCTCTAACCCTAATACTGTTTAGTCTATAACCATGCCCATGCACCCAGAGTATGACTACTTGCAATGCTATTGAGAATAGAACACATGTACAGTCGTAAGTGGTACAATGGTGACAAGTACAGTACGTATATTGTACACATACAGTACAGGTAATGGGTGTAAGATACCGATATAAGTGGATGGTATAGATAGACATACAACTTAGGATTCAAGTAATATGCGAATAGTGAAGTGCAAAGGTTACTGTCAAAGACGAAGGGATATTTTTTATAATTTTTTTTATAAATTTCTGCTGAAACACTGCACAAAAATTGTATAGACAGTCATATTGGTGTCAAGCCCCTCTGGTTTCACCCGGTGTAGCCCGCACCCCCCGCACCCCCTTGTACGCCACTGGTACTGGACATTTGTGAAAAAGAGCTTTATAGCCCATCGGATTCCTCCAGTATATTATGATTCTGATAGTCCAATGGGGTTGAGAAATTGTCTACGTGAGGTTGGACTTTGTCAACGTGCACAGCGCGCTTTGATACGTGTTGCACACTCGAAATGAAGGACGTGGGCAGGTGCTCCAAATCGAGGGCAAACACACATTGTGGTTAATCTGTAAAATGCAACAGCACGTGTGTCACACACAGCAATCTTTAAGCAAGTCGCCATTAACGATGTGACTGGTGTACAAGTGCGGTTAATCAATCAGTTTATCTTAAGCCCATTTCTACTACTGATAAACCATCTTCCCTGTAGTTAGTTATAACAACAAAAAACATTTTTAAATTTTGATTTAAAGCTTTCGTGACTGCAGTAATTCATATTCTTAGTTTTTTCGGTAAAGTCACGTTGAAGAGAAACAACAAAATAACAAAACATATATAAAACAATAAAAAAATTCTCACCACGTTTCGACCATAACTCAAACGGTCATCAGGTGTGTCGGTTTGCATAAATTTATTTTTAAAACGGCACATTTATTTATTTATAAAAAACGTTGGCGTCACGCGCAGCGATTGGCAGTTTGCCCAGGACTAGTCCATCTATTTTTTTTTAAAGAGGAGGGGGGAGACGAATTTTTTTATAATGTATGCTGTCTGAAAGCCACTGTAAGCGTGAACAATCAATCAAGAACTGAAATGATTTATCAAATCTTTCCAATGATTGCTAAGATAGAATCCATCTTCTCGGTTGAAATTGTCTCTGTGCTTGTATATGTGGATAGCCTCATGAACGAATCTCTCATGGAAGCCAGATGGCTTACAAAGAACCTCCGTCTTGGAAAAGTCAATGGCATGTGAGCCTACTGAATTAGAACAATGATCTGCTACGGCCGAGGTGTTGGTCCTACCGTGTTTAAGGTCTGCTTTATGTTCACGAATGCGGTCCGAGACATGGCGTTTGGTTTCTCCAATGTAACTACTACCACAAAGGCAACTTAGTTTGTAGACACCAGGATACTGTATGTCCGGAATCACATCTTTTACAGACGAAACCAGATCACGGATTTTATGTAATGTGTTGAAACGGACCTGGATCTTGTGTTTATTCAAGATTTTGGAGATCTTTTTTGTGATCCCAGCAATGTAGGGTAAAGTGATGGTTTTGAAAGGCTCCTCAAGAGGGTTCTTCTTCATGGTTTGAGTGATAGCTTTGCGGATTGTATAGTCGGAGTAACCATTAGCCCTAAGAGCTTGGTGTACGTGCTTGAGTTCACTGCTTATGTGTTCCTGGTCGGATATGCATTGGGCTCTATGATACAGAGTCTTGATGAGAGAATTCTTCTGTGATGGATGGTGGTGGGAATCCGGTTTCAGATAAGCTACCCATACGGATGCTTATCTGAAACCGGATTCCCACCACCATCCATCACAGAAGAATTCTCTCATCAAGACTCTGTATCATAGAGCCCAATGCATATCCGACCTGGAACACATAAGCAGTGAACTCAAGCACGTACACCAAGCTCTTAGGGCTAATGGTTACCCCGACTATACAATCCGCAAAGCTATCACTCAAACCATGAAGAAGAACCCTCTTGAGGAGCCTTTCAAAACCATCACTTTACCCTACATTGCTGGGATCACAAAAAAGATCTCCAAAATCTTGAATAAACACAAGATCCAGGTCCGTTTCAACACATTACATAAAATCCGTGATCTGGTTCCGTCTGTAAAAGATGTGATTCCGGACATACAATACCCTGGTGTCTACAAACTAAGTTGCCTCTGTGGTAGTAGTTACATTGGAGAAACCAAACGCTATGTCTCGGACCGCATTCGTGAACATAAAGCAGACCTTAAACACGGTAGGACCAACACCTCGGCCGTAGCAGATCATTGTTCTAATTCAGTAGGCTCACATGCCATTGACTTTTCCAAGACGGAGGTTCTTTGTAAGCCATCTGGCTTCCATGAGAGATTCGTTCATGAGGCTATCCACATATACAAGCACAGAGACAATTTCAACCGAGAAGATGGATTCTATCTTAGCAATCATTGGAAAGATTTGATAAACCATTTCAGTTCTTGATTGATTGTTCACGCTTACAGTGGCTTTCAGACAGCATACATTATAAAAAATTTCGTCTCCCCCCTCCTCTTTTCAAAAAAATAGATGGACTAGTCCTGGGCAAACTGCCAATCGCTGCGCGTGACGCCAACGGTTTTTTTTATATAAATAAATAAATGTGCCGTTTTAAAAATACATTTATGCAAACCGACACACCTGATGATGACCGTTTGAGTTATGGTCGAAACGTCGTGAGAATTTTTTATTGTTTCATATGTTTTGTTATTTTGTTGTTTCTCTTCAACGTGACTTTACCGAAAAAACTAAGAATAACAAAAAACATGTTTACATGTACTGTATGAATATACCTACAAGGCTAAAACTCAATGCTAATTAACTTTTTTAACCTTCTAATGCGCCCCGGTCAGCAGTCATTGTTGCCCAATTACAGTGACGCTTCAATATCACGTGGTTTCGTCTGCACGCGCTACAAGCACGCGCTGTTGTTTTCGTTGCTGCTCGTGTTTTTATAGCCGCTGATTTTGTTAAATTTTCTGGTGTTTTAGCTACAATATTGTGGTAATTAGTATTTGTGAACTTATATCAATGACTTTCTTGAGAATGAAGTAGCAATTAAAGGAAAAGGGAGAAAAATCTAATTAGGCTTCCGCTCCGTTACTAACAATGTTGTAACTAATAATGTAATTCAATGTAAAAAGATTTTACAAAAAATGTTGTTAGTATTCATATAACCTAATAAATATTACATTTAAGCAATTTACAACTATTTCACATATTATTCTATTATTAAAATTGATAATGAACTTACATGTAGAACAAGTATTGATTATGTAGCGACATCATGGATGTCACTGGGTAATGCCGGCTCTAGCGAGGCACGGCGTGCGATGTATTGCCATCGCGGACACCCCGTACATGTGGGTGTAGTACCAGCCCGAGTGGGGCTCGGTGAGCGCTGATAGAGGGCGCTGAGTCGCACCACGCTCGGCGTGCAGTGTTGTCCCCTATAGGAGGGGGGTGTGAGGGTGCCGGCAATGAATGGGGTTAATGTAGGCCATGGCACTCTGGTTGACCCTGGAAGGCACGTGACGAGTAAGATCTACACAGGGGCCCCAAGTGGGGGGCTAGGTGTGGTCACGTGTCGGGAGAGATCCTGCGAGAGGATTCGAGAAGGTGGTCGTGGCCAAGGGCGGGGCCACCCACGACCAGTGAGGCTTATATAAACAGGGTCCCCAGAGGGAACGGGCTTCAGCGTTGCTGTTGTCATCCTGAAGCTCTACATTCTACGTCCGAGAAGAGTCACCAACACGTGGACCTGGATCCAAGCCGGGGTCCTGTCCGTTGTAGCGACTCCCAGTGTAATTAGTGTAGTGAGCCTGGTGGTTACGTAGCTAGTTACGGTGTAATTAGTGTAGTGAGCCTGGTGGTCCACCACCATAGGTTGTTATCTGGTAAAGGGGCAGTTACCCCTTTGTGTTGGTATCCATAAATGTGTTGCCTCCAAAGAGTATGTCTGCGACTCAGTTGAATCTACTGCAATTATATAACTCTTTGATAACTAAATAGAGAAATTGACAATTTAAAACGTAAAGTGGGGAGAAATGCTATCTTTCTTGATACATGTTTAGAAATATAACTTAAATCTTAAATTAATTTTTTTATTTTAGTCTTTTTGTTCTTTAAAAACATCACTGCCTTGCAAATATATATCTGATTTTAATGTAGTTCTTAAAGGTTTATACGTTTTTTACTTCGAATTCTATTGTTTTCTTACAGAATTTTCACTTTAACCACCTGAAACTATGTAAAAATAAATACATTTAGGCTGTACGTATGATATTGTAATTTAAAGGTGTAATTTAAATTTTGCTAGTTTATGTCACTACTATTGCCATCACATTCAGTGATATACGGGAATTACGATTTACGAGTAACAGTACAAAAACATGACTAAGGATTCTGTATGGTCTGATATGGGAAGAGGTACATGGGGATGACACCATGAGTTACCGCACTGGGTGACACCAACCCGAGTGACGCCACTGTCCAGTACCAGTACCTGGACATGTGAACCAGAATGTACCTGCAATTCTATGCCATGTCTAATTCCCAGTCCCACTGGACTCACCAGAATGCACCTGCAATTCTATGCCATGTCTAATTCCCAGCCCCACTGGACTTAGCAGAATGTACCTGAAATTATATATCAAGTCTAATTCCCAGCCCCACTGGACTAACCAGAATGTACCTGCAATTCTATGCCATGTCTAATTCCCAGCCCCACTGGACTTACCAGAATGTACCTGCAATTCTATGCCATGTCTAATTCTCAGCCCCACTGGACTTAATAGAATGTACCTGCAATTATATGCCAATTGAATGTGTATGTTTTTGTTTTAAGTTCAATGTCTTTCATTGCATAACAACACTGCTAAGCACAAGGCCTGACCAGTTTGGTGTAGCCCTTCTCGTTGAGGGGAGGCGGATGCCAAAACTTCTCAATAGTTTTTTTCTGTGACGCTCCCCGAGTCGACACAGTCCGCCCCGCAACGCTCTGTGGGAGACACAAACATGAACAATGATACCTGGTTTGCGTTTGTCTACCCTAATTCCTTTTGTCATTTCCTGCCAAATTTTATCCCTACTGTCCCATTGGCATCATCTCACGCGGTGAAGTGTCCTTTTCGAATCCATCGCAGTGCTTCTGAGATTCCCTTAAGCAGGCCCGGCTCCAACTTCACGCGGATGGAGGGTCCTATGGAACTGTTACTTGGGCCCCTAGAGCAGTGATTCTCCACCAAGGAGGAGAGTTAACTTTGGTGGGAGGGCCACGGGAACATTTGGTCCACACACAGTAGCGGGCAACACTTGCCACCCGCTCTGCCATATGAGAGTGAGATTCGTCTTGCGACCGCAAAACCGATATTTATATTTTCAGAGTTGGAATTTGGCCACATTACGTACACTAGAAGACCTGGTTAATCGCGGGCAGCAGCCTGGATTCGTACCCAGGACCTCAGCAGTACCATTGGCCTATCCTTCTGAATGTGTCAGATGCATGTGTGGACTATGACAACTGCCTCGCATTTTGTCTACCCTAATAAAAATTTCACATGTTGCATTATTCGGGCCACCCCTCCCCCAACACGGTGACTGACTGCATTGTTAACGAATTTTTAATTATAGGCTATCTCCTTGCGGCGTGGGAGTCTTTGGCCGGGGGCCACGCTGAAGGTCGGTAAACCTTGGCCATGCTGGGGCGTTGCAGGGCGACGCTGTGCGGCGGTGTGCACCCCGACATTGAGGCCGCGTGAGGAGGTACTGGGCCATGGTGTGGTGGGACGGTTCCGGGTGCGCGCTGCTGGGTGATGTGTTTTGGCTGAGCCAGTGGACTGCGCTGACTTCTCCACCAGTTTTGTGAATTGGAATTTGTTGGTTCTGGCCTCCAGTGGCAGCCAGGAAGGGTAAAGCTTTTTTTATCTTGTCAAAAGGGTCCAATAGATATAAATGCTTAACCCGAGCTATTAGTGCATTTGCATCACCCTTGTGCTATTTGCCTTTTGGGGACCGTTTGTCTCGAGCACCGGTAAGACAAAGCCATGAAGGAGGCTAGCCCCAGTGTAGGCGAATCAGTGTCAAGGGCAATGCATACATTATCAAAGCATATATGTGTACATGTTTTACCACAGCCATGTGTGGTTGATGCGGGCTTGATGCCTTGTAATAGGTGTGTGTCTATTTGGTATTTTAACATCTTAATGCCATGGTGGCGAGAGGGTGCCACAGTGTCGAGATGTTAACTACCTCGCCTGGTATACAGGAAGTAGTGGGTTTTGATCCCGACTGTGATGCCTGTTGCATATTTGTAGTTTGTGTATTATTTCTCCCCATGGTCGTGCGGGTTCTCCGATTTTTCCCTCCACATTTAAAAATGTGCATTTACAGTATATGTCTGCAATACATTTCTACGCGATAATCCACTTCAATTAAGCTATTATTTGTGGCCAGGTCACTTCTGAAAAAAGCTGTATAGCTCAGTGGGCCTTACCTTGTAAAAAAACATAAAATGTCATGAAGGGTAAAGCCTGTCTTTAAATCTTAACACTGGGAAAAGGGTCCCAAAAATAAAAACTCGAGTGTTTGCTGCGCTTAATGTTGGTGCACGCGAGCGAGTGGATGTTAAGACGGATCAACGCCGCCCCCCACCAACCGTGAAACTACTGCAGACCACGCCTGTGAAACACGGTGCCTTCGGGATAGCCTTTCCTAATAAGAATGGCCTGAATGTGAAATGTATTGAACTATTATTCTAAATCTGTAATCTTGTCCCAATGCCTCCTCACCTTGAGCACGAGCTCATCGACCTGCGGCCCTTGGCATGTGGGGGGCACTTCCCCGGTGGCAGCGGCCTCGGCACCACTCAGCTCCAACGCGACGAGGTACAGCAGCCACTTGCCATTGGACATTTCCACTGGGAAGTGGATGTCTACGTACGCGCCACCAAGGCCCTCTAGCGAGTGGCCCAAGTTGAGCACCTGCACAGAACCAACACGTCTGATGCCGGTCCTACATTTGCAATGTGGATTGTGGGGAATAAACTATTAGCAGGGTCTGTTTCACCACCAAAGCATGAATTAAAACGATACATAGGTCCATCAGTCAATAGTCACTGAAGTTAGTCTACTGCCTGCTGATGAGACTCAGGGTCGAAGCTAATCCAAGGTGGCCTGGCTTAAACGGGTGCTATGAAGAACGTTAGTGCGTACGGCCTAAAGATGCTGGACCTGGATGTTATTTTTCTTTGTTTTTGTACAATGGAGCCTTGTCTGTGTATGTATTTTGAACCTAGGGGAGCGGTATTGTCGCGGTTAGTGCACTTCGCTACGAACCCTGCTCATGGCCAATACCAGTGATGATTATCTGAACCCTAGGTCGACTCAGCCTCAAAGAAATACCTGATGCGGTGTGTAAACATTGCAGCTAGGGAGATAAAGGTGGCGGGCATGGTACTGGTCACCCACCCCCTCATGTGCCGTGTCGGCATTCATAGGTGCTCGCCAACAGCACTTGCCCCAGCAGTCTGTTAAGGCTATGAAGGGGGATCTTAGTTTTTTTGGATTTTGAACGTCTTTCGTGTAATACATAGAGATAGCCATGACGGAGTGAGTGACTGAAGTATATTCACATTATTTTCTGGATGGGCTATGAAGGTGAAATTTCAGACCCTATGTTTCTAACTCGAAAAATCTGATGTTTGAATCTAACCCCTTACAGTTTGTATCTGCAGCATTTAAATGTCACAATGCAAATGACGGAAGAATAAATAAGACAAAATGTCCAAATTTGGTCCCTCAAAAGTTAAAACTCTTGCAAAATGTACAACCCAAATGACAAAAAGGTTAAGTACTACTTCATTCTGTACAAATCTACACTTGTAACTAGAATGATCCTAACACGCGAATTCTAAAAATGACATGTTTACAATTTCCAGGTACTTTTTGAAGAGTGTGACACTAACGCTGATCGAAAGCAGGCAGAGGCAGGTAGCAGTTACTAAAGGGAAACCCTACGTCCGTGCAGCACTTGCGTCACCTCATCGGGATCACTCTCACGATGTTCCATGGAGTCATCTCGTCTGCTTTGCTTGAAAGTTTTAAACAGCGTAAGCATGACGGCGTTGAGTACTGTACTCATAATAAACAGGGGGTTATTACTGCTACAACAAGAAAAATAAACTCCCAATACTTTAAGCCATCCGTTTTATTCGGGAATGTCGGTTCACTTGGTTGAGCAGTACACTGTGTGGCGGTACCGTGATGTTGAACTCCACCAGGCTCCCAGCCGCCCCCTCCCACCAGATCACCGACTCTCCACGGATTTCCCCTCCAAAGTACGCCTGGGAGGGCCTCACAGTGCTACGCAAGGGGCAGGAGCAGTGGCAGGTCAGTGATGATACGTCTTCCAAACAAAATGCATGTGGTACTGCATTTACACCAAGACAAGGCAGACTTCGACTAGACATTATGACAAGGCAGACTGCGAAAGGCATCCCACTCTGGATATTTATATGGTCTTCCAAGCGTTGACAAACCGAGGCCTAAAAAAATAATTACAAAATATTTTTTACTACATAGAAGTTGCACGAAGAATACATCAATACATGTTGCAATTAAAGATTCTGCTGAATTATCATCCATATCTCATAATTGAGTAAAGCTGTAAATATATGACGATTGTATTGCATGGTCTTCCTCACCTTATGATGACAATGTCCATCTCTAGCAGCACTTTGACCTTGGCTATGACCGGCTCCAGGCCCTCTTGCTCACTTGTGCTGCACAGGCCGATGCCAAACACACAATGTATCCATACACAATCCTCAGAGTGCAACAGAATATATCCATTGCTTTGTATTTGTATAACAGACCCTCGTCTGAGATGGCCGTGAGGGAGTGAGTGACTAAGGTATATTCTAATGATTTTCTAAGGTATATTCTAATGATTTTCTAGGGGGCTATAAGGGTCCATTGTGGTAAAAAATCCAGTCAAAGAGCCCCCAATTCCTGTAGAATTTAGTTTTACCGGTAGGAACGAAGTTGTAAACTGAGTGTACCAGCCTGCAATAGATTAATGTGTCCGTCCGTCCGTCCCCTTTCAATACTTTAACGAAGTGAAATCTCGTGCTGTTGGGTGTAAAATCAGCAATAGACAGCGCAGAGACTTGTCCTACCAGCCCACCCTGCAGGGACCTGTTTTTACACTTTTACGGAATTCCATGCACACGATGATAAAATTAATTTATTGTCCAGGATGCTCCACTACAGCACTGAGTTTATTGTTTATGATAGCCTAGGGTAGAGAAAGGGCATTTACCAACAACATCTGGTAATAAGCAGCAGCAGTGGTATGTGCTTAACTAGCCTGATATAATTAGCTTGATGGGAAAAAGCAATCCAGAGTTTGCCTGTTTAGGCAAATGCTACTGGTTAACATACGTATACAAAGCAAAAATGTTGAGAGAATCTAAGGTAATTTATTTAATGACATACAATGGTTTGGCTAGCACAAAAACCAGCACGGACTGCATTATGGAGACTACGGAAGCATTGGTTTGAATTTAAAAGTGCAGTGAAGCAGGTCAGAAGAGTATAAGTGAGCAGAGTTTGATGGCATTGGAAAGTTCTACAAATGAGAACTATTTTTTCCTGGTCATATAAGAGGGTGAAATCTTTTCAGATGAAAAAAAAGGATTTTCTCCAAATTGCAATGGCCATGATCATGACGTCGGATTGGCGAAACGCAACTCACAGCGCAGCAGCTTTCACCGGAAGACGACTTCACAAAACTACTTCTGAAGTTGTTTAGACGAGGCCTCTGTATCCACACGAGGGACACTGCGGAAATAAGCTTTCAATAACCTTGCTATTGTCAGCTTGGCACGTGTGCAGAGATGGTCCTACGCTTCTCTTGTTTATATTTTGAGTAGCCGAGTGGTGCAGTGGTAACAGACGTGCGTCACAGCAAGCAGGGTCTGGGTTAAATTCCCGCCTCGGGCACCTCTATGTGTGGAGTGTGTATGTTCTGCCCCTGTCCTGAATGGGGTTCCTCTGGATTCTCTGGTACCTCCTATAACTATATACAATGTAACTGGCATTGATTGGGCCACACATCCCAATGCTGAAAATGATCACAAAATTACTTATTTGGAATTACACATGGCAGCAATTTCACACCCCCCAACTACAAAAACCTGGCAGGATCCTCCTGAAAACAAGCCATGTATATTTAGTTTTGCGATGGGAGGCAGCACGTGGCTCAGATCACACACGTTGTGAGCTGCAGAGTAGAGCTCAGCTCCAGCATGTCTTTTGTGACTCCTTCCGTGCTCAGGATGAGATACAGCAACACCTGAAATGACCACATGACAGCACCGGCTTAACGAGCAGCGTGTGATGTACGCACACAGGACCACACACGAGATACATCCGTCTGTAACACAAGCAGTCGCGTGTTATTCGCAATCGCAACATCAGGATAAGCTTATACTGTAGAGTTAATAAAAAATGTTATTATGATTCTATAGTGAATAAAAAGGCTATTTGAGGCTGACGTTTTACTGTAGGGGTTCTAGCGCTGGATGCTAAGCATCTCGAAAAGAGGTGGCTGGCATATGAGCACGGGTGTCTGAGAGGGATGCTCGGAATTTAGTGGAAAGCCAGGAGAAGCCATGCGGAAGTCTGGAAGAGACCACGGGGCATGAGAGTGTCGTAGACAGTATTCTGTAAAAACGGTTGCGCTGGGTGGGACGTGTGCAGGATGGGAGAGGAGGGCCGATTGCCGAGACAGGCATTGCATCGGTCTCTGCGAGTCCAGCGACCAAGGGGAAGAGAAGACCTAAGAGCGGATGGTGGGAGACTGTGAGGGCAGATCTTGGAGGTCACTGCATGTCTGCTGTGCAGCTCCTGAGGGATCTATCGGAGGTAGACAGTGTTGGTGAGGTACGGTGGCATCAACGGCTTTGGCCACAATGAAGTCTTGATCTTGACAGAAATTAAATGGAACGTCGCTCCTAGCGCTAGGAGGTTTGGTTGAAGCCTGTCCTGAAGGGATGGCAGTTCTCTGCTTTGTTACCTGGTGGCCACGTCTGAGTGGATTCCCAAGCTCACAGTCCACCACAGATGCGTTGCTGCTCAGCAGGCAGAGGGGCTGTACATCCTTCAGAGAGACGCCAACATCATCACTGTCATCTTATCTTCAAGGAATTATAAATGCAGTCATCATTCATAGAGTTACCAAATCATGTCCAAACTTGCTAAATATTTTAAACTCTGCTGGCCATATTGAACCATTACTGAACATATTTTTTACCAGGTAAGACCCACTGAGCTGTGTAGCTCTTTTTCAGAAACGACCTGGCCACAAATGATAGCCCAATGAAGTGAATTATCACGTGGACATTTATAGCAGCCAAGTACTCTGAACGCTCGTTTATAAATTTGGAGGGAAAAACCGAATGAATCGGAGAAAAATCCACGCGACCACCGTGAGAGCGTGCAAACTCCAAATATACTGGCGTCAGGGTCCAGATTGAATCCACGACCCCCTGTATACCAGGCAAGGTAGTTTACATCTCACGACCGAGGTGCCCTGGTATTGGTCACATTGTGCTTGAGCTTGCTGTAATCAAACAGTAATATTACACAAAATTTGCGTGTAATATTACTGGAATTGTTCTGTAAGTTGTTCAGGCCAGAAAAGTTTGTGTGTATAGTAATACTCCACACAAAATGTGATTTATAGACAGCAAAATAATGATCACTGGCTCCGCAGCCCAACATACCTTGCATGTCACTTGACATCACCATACAGCGTGTATAATGTACAGAGCCTTGCTTTAGACCACCAGGAGTCCGAAATAATTGTGGCCATACGATTGTTGGGATGAAACCAATTTCCCATCGTCTCCTTGTCCTTCCACCCAAACAGCCATCATGCAAGCAGAGCACACAGTTTTCAGGTTTGCACCATGACCGCCACTCATGGCACGACTTCGCGCTGAGCTATACGGCTCTTTTTCAGAAGCGACCTGGCTATCACAAATGATAGTTCAACGAAGGCGGCTGATCGTCACGTGGACGTTTATAGCAGAGAAATACATACTCTAAAGCGCGTGGCGTTGGCTGACCTGGGAAGAGCCCCAGATCTGGCGGTATCCCCGATAGCTGAGTCCGGAGGGCAGTGCGAGCAGCAAGTGAGTCTCGTGGGCATCGTCGCCCATGTTGCGCAAGCTTACGTTCAGGGCCAGTCCCTTGTGCTGCCCGACGAGGAACAGTGGCCTGCCGCCCTCGCTGGCGCACAAAGACAAAGATTCCACACTTGATTTGAAGCTTTCGTGACTGCAGGAATTACTCTTTGGTTTTTTCGGTAAAGTCACGTATAAATAAGAAATGATAAAATAACAATAGCGTACGACGTTTCGGTTGCAACACAAGCAGCCATCATCAAGTACAGAAGAGCTAAATTTACGAGAGAGGGGAAACATAACCTCAGATGTATATACAGACACCCAAGTAGGGTGTCTGTGTTAGTTCCCCCTACTTGGGTGTCTGTATATACATCTGAGGTTATGTGTTTCCCCTCGTAAATTTAGCTCTTCTGTACCTGATGATGGCTGCTTGTGTTGCAACCGAAACGTCGTACGCTATTATGTTATTTTATTATTTCTTATTTATACGTGACTTTACCGAAAAAAACAAAGAACAAAGATTCCACCCCCACCCCGCGTAGCCTCGACAATAGGTATCAAAATAAATATTCTCGCACGTGATTAGATTCACGTTTTTTTTTACTTCAGGAATTGATATTCATCGACGAATAGATTTGATTTTTGTTGCAAATCTTCCGCCCTTAATTGCTACACCTGTCAATTGAGTTTACGGCATTATTACGGTATTGCACAGATATGTATGTGATGGAGGTCAGCTGGCTGACTGTTTAGTGGTATACATGTTTCAAATCAAGATAGTATACATGCTGTGTTTAACCACCACACTATAGATCAAAACAACATAAAGACCAAGATCCCCCATATAGCCTTAACATACTTTTGGGGCAAGTACTGTTAGCGAGCACCTATGAAGGCCGGCACGGTACATGAGGGGGTGGGTGGCTAGCCTCACGCCCGGTCGCCTTTGTTTCCCGAGTGGCGATGTTTATGCATAGCACCAGGTACTCATTTGAGGCTGAGTTGACCTAGGAGAGGCCCAGGACCAGTTCAGATCATCTTCACCGGTGATCGCCGTGAGCAGGAATCGAACTCGTGTTGCCGGGTTCACAGCGCCTTGTGCTAACCACTGCACTACCGCTTTCCACGTGCGCGCCCAGACGCAGAAAACATAGATCCACTACGAGGGACCATGCTGACATTGATAGCGTTAGCAATAACAATTGGAAAGTTTACTACATAATTATTATCATACTATTACAAATCTATCCCTCGAGTTTCCTGGCTGGCTACTGACTGGGCTCCTCTCCACCCCAACAATAACTGTTGTGAGTGGCTTTGGGCTATTGCCACCGAACATAGCTGGATAACTGGCTGCACGGGATTTTCCACGAAAAACACCTTGAATTGAAATGGTGGAAGACGTTCGAAAGATATTGAATAACATATAGAGACTAATGCTGATAATTTAAAAGTGATCTAACTTGTCAACTTGTGCATCTATTAATGTGATCCTCTAACGATAATATTATTTAAATCCTAGAGAATATAAAAAATCTATAAATATTATCTTGGCATTTTATTATGCAAATTAGTAGATTAATATCATTGCTCCAATTAACGATTATGAGAAGAGTATGAACATTACAGCTGTCTCTTATTTTATGTTGCAGAGCAATGGCTTCTCTACTCGTCAGAGTAATAATAACAACCTATTCATTTACATGCCATTGCTTAGATGTCTCAGTGTCTAAAAGAGCCGTACATCCTTTCCCATATCAACCATTCAAAGGACACCCCCATTGGCAGCTGTCACTGCACAGCACAGGGCGACTCAGCAACTGCCTCCCAAGCTGGCAGGCAAGGCAGCATGCCAGGTTCGAACCAAAGCGGGCAGTGAATGCACTACTGCCGAGCCATGTCACAGAATGGCTGCTTACCCAGTCACAGTTTCTGTGCACATTGAGTACTGGGCGTTATCGTTAATTGAAGGTTCAAAGAGGGCGGTCGGGCAACATGTAGTTTATGACAATTATTGTTTTGCGTTTGTAGATCCGTACCGGATTAAAATCAATTGTGCAAAACTCAACGTAATAGCCAGGGCCTAAAAGGCGTGAGACCACGTCACCCGCGAGGATCAAGAGCGCCTGTGTCCGCCGTGTGATCTGTCTCCTTGAGGCCTGACGAGGCTCACCTGTGCAGCTGCGTGAAGTTTTCTGACTTGACGTGCGAGCAGAAGGAGAAGTTGAAACTGAGCTCGCTCTGACAAACTTTGTCCTCTCCGCAACCCTCCTTCACGAAGTTCACCTGAGGGGAACGGCGAAGAGGCGCTAATGTCGTGATACTCGCATGCAGCTCACCACACAGTGCCGTGATTACAATCCATCATCCATCATAGAGGGTTCTTTTGGGTTAGATCGCATAAATATGAATGTAAAAAAGTCGCCGCCACCCAAAAAAGCCAATTAGTGAGGTTTGTCACGTAAATTAAACATGCCAATTAGTTACTAGTTCAGCACACCGGTGTGTGGGAGAGTAAACCCACTACAACATTTCCAATTAGAGTACCGTGACGTTTTGCCAGGAATTATAACAACCAGCATCATCAGGTGACAGCCATAACTGTGGAGAAATCCTCTATTATGGATATTTGTTACGAAAGGCGACATGTGAAACAATCCATCACATTCCACTCGTTGATTCCTCCACTTGGGCTCAACTACCACTCCGCAGGTCGCAACACTTCTCTTGCTGCGCCTTCCTTCACACTGCTACGCTTTGGACTTCCCTCTCATCATCTATTTTTCCAAGTACTTTGCTGTCAACTCAAGAAATGCATTCAATTTCATTTCATATATTACACATTCAAACTGACAGGAACCCACTTACAGCCGGGTGCCAGTGTATTCACTCGACAACTCTTGGCAATACAAATGTGGGATTAATTTTGCACGTCGCAATTGGATTGTAGAGTATGCCTGGTTTTGCTCTGAATGGAATAGGTACTTCTGAACAACGTAGCTGTGGAAATGCACAAATAATGGAGACTGTTAAGGACAACATTTGAAATCGTTATTTTTTAAAGTTATGCTTGCCAAGGGTTTGATGTCCACCTGGGTCAGGACGTGGCCTTAGAGACGATTTAAAGCACTGTACCTGCTAACTCACTATGACGACACCCAAGGCCTGGTACATTTGTAGTTGCTGGAGTAACCCATCAATTTAAACATGTTAAGGTATGACTTTTCTCTGGATATAAATGGCCTTGTGATAGAAGAATGATGGGAATACCACATGCACGAAACTATTATTATAATCGTGCACGCACCGCCATATGGCAATTACACCGCCAAGTTACATGAACCTAGATATCATTCTGATGTCAACCATTAACTAATCATGCAGGAAATATCTGTACATTGCGTGTACCGGCATTTAATGGGTGAACTTAGAATATGTGGCGGGGACTGTGGACGCTGTAGATTCAAATGTTCCGCTATGAGAACACAATGAGTTTCTTTTAAAAGTGGTCTGCTGCGATCGTGTTATTGTTGACTCAAGACGCCCGGGATGGGTGAAGGGGCCGCGCGCAGACGCCCACGGGAGCACCTCTGTGCGCAAGGGGTTGGCCACGCTGGCGTTGAGCGTGGGAAGCAGTTCCCCCATGGCGGCCTCTGATTTTTCCCACCGAGCCTCCTGCACCTCGTAGTGCAGGTGCAGCGGGATGGGCCGCAGCTTGTCCTTCACGTGGTCCTGCGGAAACAACGAGCTCTTTCACAGCCGAGTGGGTGTACGCGCTGCGATGCGCAGAGAGAGGGAGGGAGGTGCACGGTGCAGAGGACACGGAGAGCGCGCACCAGCTTCTTCGTAATTACAGCCAAAATCAACACAGGATGTGCTCGCTCGTGTCAGATTTCAGAAGCTAAGTGGGGATCAGCCTGCACGGTGCTTGGATGGGCGACCACCAGCCAGGTTGTCGCAGGCAACTGGAGGCCATGCTGCGTGGAGGCACGCATGGCGTAGCACAGCAAATTCCATTCATGCGGTGTACTTCTATGCTCCTACATCTCTAAACATAATGACTAAATTAACAGAAGAGGCACACCTGAGCCAAAGGGACAATTTTTCAGGAGGGACCTGGATTGGGATGCCTGGCCAACACCGATGACATCGTGTGTCGTTATCGGTGCTCCCCACCTCACTATTGCGCACCGACCAGCGTGGGGAAGAGTGCCGCATGCACACAAGTGGATGTGAGGCGAAAGAGCTTGCACAGTGGCCGTGCACTAGCGTGCTCGCGAAGGCACGCCCGCACATGAAGACACACGTACGTGCACACGCAGCGTGGTGTTGAAGCAGCGCGTGTCGCCCTGGCCGCCCAGTGAGACGTTTCCCGAGAGGACGTGCACCCCAAGGAGGGTACCGGTCTCGGTGCCGGCGATGGCGGTGAGGTGAACGCGCGAGCTGAGGCCTTGCTGTCGCCGGTCCTCCTCAGCATTCAGTGAATAGTGCAACGCTGTGGGGGGAGGGTGGAGGGGGGGCACAGGAGGCAATGACCCACGAGGACACTGCTCTCGGGCTGCAGACCATTTACTATGAGTGCAGCGTGCAGCAGAGGCCCCTGTGTATATGTTGCAGAGACCCGAGAAAAGGGAGTCGCAGTAATATAATCTCGATTTTAAAATAATTTTGACTTGCAACGCACCGCACAGTATTCACTCGCTCTCGAACAGAGAATGCCCCAGAAGCACGAGAAACCGTGGACAAGCAAGAAGGCAGCCACGTGGTGAATCGGCACCAACAATTACCCAATCTCTGCGGTCCTCTCAATAATAAGATGTTTTCAGCGAATTCATCAGCGTCTATACATGTGTAGTGTCAGTTATTCAGAGACGAGGTTTGTAGGAGGCACCTTTAATTAGAACATTCACAGTCTCGTCTGCACTCTCTACAGTCACTTAACCTAGCCTATACACAACACGAGCTGTCTAACACTGATGGCGCTGACTGAGACAGCCAACTATCTGGCAGTGCAATATCGAGCGAAGACGACGAGACGACAGCAATGACGGGACGAATCCAATCCCAGAACCGGCCACCTCGAGCTTCCGCTCTCGGCTGTCTCCACCCCGGCAGTGCCTCCCTTCTCGAACCCACTAGCAGGTTCCAGGGGCTTCCAGACGGGGTCCTCCGTGACCCTTGCCCCAGTTCCTCCACCCTGCCAACACACCCGTGCACATGCTCACCGGCGTGTGCACTGTCCACCATAGCTGCCACTGCTGGCCACTAGCCGGCGCTATTACACTACACATGTACTGGGTACTGAGAATGAGATGGGTAAAGAATGGTCTTAATTGGGGCATCCTATTAAGAAGTCGTTGGTAAGAGACCACGGTCAGGTGGTGAATACGATGCGCAAAGCTACATTTTATTGTGAAAAATTACACCAAAGCGTTTTTTTGTAAACAAAAATCAAACAATGTTGTGAAGATGGCAGTGGCAGGAGGCATGGTTCCACAACCGCACACGTACTGATTGCAGGGCTGTAGGTAGGTGGTCGCGCCCAGTATGAGAAACATGCCAGCACCCTCACGCTGAAAGAAAACAACAAATCATAAGCAGACCTTGTAATGATAAAACTAATATTTCAGCTCCAACCTCTCACGACCCACATGTCCAGTCTTGGGAGACAGGAATAGCAGTTTTGCACGGACTGGTGAAAGCGGTGCATTGTGCAGCAAAGTGTGATATTGTTTAAATTCATGGTCTCTTGAAATTATAATGTGTACAGTATCATTGTATCCAAAGTGCTCAAATAAGTATCAAGGCGGTGCTCATCTCCTGTCTACAGCCCTTAGCTTGCAGTGGAAATTCCACATCCCTACAACGGGGCAAGGCTATCAATAGGACATTCCCATGCAGAGGTACTTATTTTGTCGACCCCAGAGGGATAATGGCGAGGCCTTCATCCAGCAGTAGCTTGATCATGGCTGATGATGATGGTTCCTTACCAAGTGCTTTGCCTGTTTTCACAGTTCTTCACGCTCATATCAATGTCTCCGTCAGTCAGGAGGTGGACATCTGCAGTGATCACAGTCCTGGATCTGTGCGATGAACACAGCACACACGGCAGACAAGACAGAGAGGAGGATATCGTTAAACGTACGTACAGCACATGAACGCTTATCGAATCTTCCTGAGCTTGTAAATTTTGCAGAGGCGATCGGATTGGCACATCTCCTCTAACACCCACTCAGTCTTATTACACAGAATTACATACAAACACTTCTCACTCGCTGTGTAATACTATTGTTCAGTGTAACTAGCGATTCTTCCTGGTTATGGCACCTGTGAGTGCTGTATTGGTGGACTGGCATGCGTATGATGGGTTCTGCGATGGTGGAATAACAACTTCTGAACAACACAGCTGTGGAAATGCACAAATAATTGAGACTGTTAAGGACAGCATTTTAAATCGTGAATTTTTTAAGCAATGCTTGCCAAGGGTTTCATATCCACCTGAGTCAGGACATGGCCTTAGAGACGAGTTAAAGCACTGTACCTGATAACTCACTATGATGACACCCAAGGCCTGGTACATTTGTAGTTGCTGGGGTAACCGATCAATTTAAACAAATGTCAAGGTATGACTTTTCTCTGGATATAATTGAGTTCTATTTTTTATAATTTAGGCAGAACCTATTTCCACCATCGAGAGAATAGGTTTCCACAGGGTGAAAACACAATTAGTGGATACTTGCAGAAAGGTGTAAAGGGGAATATAATTTAGTTTGGATATCAACCCAATATTTACATTTAGAAGTGTAACCCAGAAGCGGTGATGCTAAATAGGGAACGTGGATCCATTTTGTCGATGTTAACCAGGCTTTTCACAGCATGCACGTAGAACCTTGGGAGAAGATCAGGCGGGCTCGCATAACAGAGTCAATATTAAAATTACTTAATTGGGATTACACATTGCAGCAATCGTCCCTTACTGGCAGACTGATGCCCGCTTGCAGATCAAGTGCTTAGTTACATAGGGTGCAGAGGGGTAGCTGCCTCTGGGGGTGCCCTTTCACACTTCTGACATTAGCGGTGATATAAGTTGCCAATTGTGTGTAAAGTGCTATGAGAGGCCCTGGTGTAAAGCGCGCTCTATCAAAAACGAATAATTATTATCACAAATACCATAACAGGCATTGATTAAGGAGTCAGTATGCTGTGTGGCAAAATAAACTTGAGACGGCAAAGGGTGTGATGATTGTGTCAGACTGGACCTCTGTCCCTTCACACTTTTATTTTTCTGCTGGTGGTGGACTGGGCCAATTCTAACTCTATGGATACAACCGAAAACAATAGCATTAGATGGCCGGAGGGAACATTGTTTTAACCATGACTATGAGGGATCATTATGGTCAGTTGTTATTTATACCGCACCTGCCATGTAGTTAATAGAGGAGTGCTCAGTACAGGCTGAGCTCTAGCTCCTCTCGGATTGGGGGGGGTGGGAATCGAATTGGTGTGTGGGGGGCTACTGTACCAGTGATTCACCACTAAGCAGGAGAGTGAACATGGTTAGGCCATAGGGACATTTAGTAGTGCGGGGCCCACGCCAGTGCCCCCCCCTGGCGCCGGTCCTGATTCAGCATCTGCTGTTTGATTCGAAGACATATTTACGCGATCTAATAAAAAAAAAACTGTACTATGGATGATATTGGTCACGAAAACCTACGTGTTAAACCAAACCTGAAGAGGACGACTTGATCAGAGAGCGACCCCACGAGCAAGTCAGGGTAGAGGTTTCCATCCACATCCAGGCCGCCACTTAGGGAGTATCCAAACCCCTTTAGGCCAACGTCTAAGTTCTCTCCATCGAGGACCTGCGGCGGCAGGGGAGGCCCAGGTGTCCACACTCAAGTCATGGGACACGCTCACCATCACATGTTCAGGCCACTGGACGCCCTCACCGTCACGTGCTTAGGCCACTGGACACCCTCACCATCATACGCTCAGGCCACGGACACTCAAGCCGCAGAAGTACGTGGTTGACTGGCATGCCATACCTGTGCTGGCTTGGTGATGACGCCACTTGGACCTCCGCTGTAGATATACACTCGTCCAGATTCCTCAAATGGTGCACCGACTGCAACATCTGTTTAATGACAGACATCACAATGCAAGGTCACTTTGCAAATAGCAAAAGTGCCCGCATCAGAAATTTAGACATGCAGTAATTACAATTCCACTACACAACAACGTATGTTAACGATTTAGCTTCACTTACAATCCCAGCTACTGCAAAAACACAAACTGTAATCAATCATGCTTCGTATTGATTCTATCAAAAACAGTGAAGTACAAAACACTCGAGGATTTACGGAATGCAACACAGGTTAATGCAGCATCAGTAAATGTGTACTTCGGTAATGCTCCATATGTGACAACTATGAACAGTGTGACAGGATCGATGCATTTCTTCAGAAACTGCTGATGGTTTTTGCATAATGCACAAAGTGTGACGGTTTTTTATACTCGTTTTTGTGAATTGTTTGAAAATCACGTTTTTCTGGCCTGTACTGTTTTTTTTCTCAAATCTGGCATAATACAGATTTTAGTACCGGATTAGGAATGCAATAATGTTGCCACTACATGAGCTACAATCTTATGAAACTAATTCCAATGACATTGAGATTGAAATATTTATCCGGGCTTTCATTGAGGAAATGTGTTGAGGATCATTGGAGGAAAGCAAAGCAAGGGTTGGAAGGAGGTAAGAAGGAAGAACAAGTTGTAGCAGGGGCACTCTTTGGGACCCTTGTTGATTTGTACCTAGATCTGCTGGGACTGTATTGAACATTATTGCAGTTTAGTGCACAGTTCTGATGGACCTAGACTGGTTGAGACAAGGGCCAGGGATTTGGCCTGTAGAAATGGAGACAACCATCTGTGAGTTGCATAATAAGTCCGTGTTTTCATTGGGTGGCACGGTGGCGAGATGTTACCTACCTAGCCTGGTATATAGTAGGCCGTGGGTTCAATCCCAACCCTGACGCCTGCTGTATATTTGGAGTTTGCATGTTCTTCCTATGGTTGCGTGGATTTTTCTTCGGGTCCTGCACATTTAGAATCAACATTCGTTTAGAGTATTTGGCTGCTATAAATTTCCATGTGATGATAAGCCACTTCGTTGAGCGATCATTTGTGGCCAGGTCATTTCTGAAACATAAGAGCTGTACTGTATAGCTCAGTAGGCCTTACTCAGTAAAATAAAAATATATAGTTCTTAGTTTTGAGTGTTGGCCACATCGATGTTAATACTACGCAGCACGACCTCACACGTACCTTGAAAACCGTCAAGGTCCACGTCACCAATGGCAGCTATCGTCAGCCCAAAGCCAGATCCTACGGTGCCCTCCAGCCTCACACGCTTCTTCCTCTCGCCACCGCCGTGCTCATTGCCACCCCAGCTGCTGTCAGCGTGGCCGTGGCCAGGGTGGTACCGACCGTTATCGTTCAGGTACACGTACACGGCTCCACCCACACTCTTCTTACTCTGGTCAAAGAAATATGGAGCTCCAACTAAGAGATCCATCCACCTGTTGTAGTTGGAAGGCGTTGTGTGTAGGCAGGGAGTTGTGTGACGTTGTGATGAGAGGGAGGGAGAGGAGGAGCAGCATATGGAACGAAAACAGAACAAAAATGATTACATTATTATTAGAATCATCATCAGCAGCAGCTGCTGGACAAAGGTCTCTCAAAGCTTTTGCCATCCCTCATTACTCTGCAGTACCTAGCACAGTAATGGATAGTGCATTGAAATTAGGGGGAAAGGTAAAAAAAACTGAGAAATATCTGAAACCACGAAAGACAAGTTGAAGAAGGGGAGATTTATGGACAGAGATGAAAATGCTAAACAAAGTCAGAATACAGAGATAATTCTGTAAAAGATTTGGATAATAATGAGAAATCGGAGAATAACACAAATAAGCGATGTCGTAGCAAGCCATGAAAGCAGCAACGGGATGATTATGATCTTCATCACATTTAGAGGCCAAACAACCTCGTGAGCATCACGATTATGTAGGTACAGAAATAAACTTGGTGATGATACAGTACTGTATGCCTAAGTTCTAACCACTTTAACACGTAGGCTTTCGTGACCAATATCCATAATAGAGGTTGTTTTGGGTTAGGTCGAGTAAATATATAAATGTGTCGCTAAAACCCGCCTCCGCCTGACACAGCCAACTAGTAAGGGTTGTCACGTAAACAGAACATGCCAATTCGTCACTAATACAGCACACCGGTGTGTTGGACAGCCAAGCCTCAACATTCACAAACTGAGTACGACGTTTCGCCAGTAATTACAACTAGCTTGATCAGGTAACAGCCAGATATGTGGAGAAGTCCACCTGTTTCGTTCCTTATATAGATGCCTGGATGTGGTGACCACACTTCTGCACTCTTGTGCAAAGTGGGGCGGGGGGGGGGATTAATGAGTCAACGTACATTATGCATGCACATTATGCGAGCCCATTGGTCTTGTCCTTCCTGTCCATTGTGTGTATTAAAATAGCCGTACCAACGGTAATCCCTATTGAAGTATGGTGCCCTGTATAGGCATGCATTTAAACTATGTATTATTTGATGATTTGCTTCCACGCAGCACTAAGTCGGTAGCTATCCAAACGGTTACAATTATTTTTATTTCTTTCAATTTCGATAGATTCTCTAATTAGTCTTGGCTAGTAATAGCTAGTTTTGCACAGAACTTCAACATCAAAATCAATTGAGTGTCCTTGTTGGCACGCGTGTTCTGCTACTGCTGACAGTTGTATTTGGAGTATTTAATATTTCTCTGTTCTTTTAGTCTCGTGCTGATAATTCATCCTGTTTGCCCAACATAACATTTGCCACAAGTGAGTTAATTTTGTACACACCTTCCGTTGATCCCTTCAGTAATACATCTTTTGTACCATATATTAATTTCTGCATTTTATGTACCATGCAAAATCTGACTCAGATGTGTTGTTTTTCCAAACATCTGGCTAGTTTATCAGTTACCCCCGCAATATACGGTATTTTGATCATTTTAATTACTTGGGCAGTTTCAATGCTCGTGTTATTTTGTATGATTTTGGCATTCAATGCCCTGTTGATTTTTGCATCATTGTAACCGTTCATTTGCAGCTCTTCTTTATGTTGAATTTCACTTCTCAGACTGTTGCAAAACCCATCCATCCAGTTCACCATGGAAGTGGAAGCTGACAAAACTCTCCCATTTCTGGATATTCTGCTCGGACGGGGTCGAAATGGTAAAATAACACACAGCGTTTACCGAAAGAAAATGCATACTGACACCTATTTGAATGCAGAGTCACACCATCACCCCGCACAGAAATCTGCTCTTATCAAGACGCTCATTCATCGAGTGAGACGGTGACAGTTGACTCTCTGTATAGATGAAGGCAGTCACCCTGAAGTGTGGACATGGAAACATGTGACAATTGGTGTGTCCACTTAGCCCAGTGTTGTACAAGATTACCTAGGAATGGAGTCTACACTGTCATGGATCTTTAATGATTTGAAAACCTGCTACTGTCACCCAAGAGGTCAGCAATGGCTCGTTGGTACAATTGTCATCACTATTGATCCGTTTTTTTTTAAGAGGTGCTGAGACAATGCAGGTACTGCATTTATGTTACTTGTGTTATAAATGGCAAACTTCAATAAAAATGTACTTGTAACGTGCACAGTTTTGAATCGTCCTCAGAGAGACGAAGAATGATTTAGAGGCAAAGAAAACCACAGCCAAGCTGGAAGAGAGGCAGAACCAGTGCCAACAATTGCCCAAGCTCTGTGGTCCTATATTGGGATGTGTGGTCACTGTGTCCAGCACAGTGACCACACATCCCTACTCCCTTGCCTCCTAAGTCCCCCTGCTCAAGTGCTTAGGGCAGTGTTCTTCATTGCAAGGCCCGTAGGCCCTGACGTGGGGCTCCCGACGATGCACATGTGAAAACACCCCCCGTCATGCGTCCAAAGCCAAAAATGGTTTCTATTGTGTGGCAGACCTCACACTGATGATGTCTTATTGGCGAAAGTGTCCCCCCCACCACCCCCTCTGAAAATGAGTGAAAGGACACCGGCTAAGGGTGTTATCAGAAGACTGATCAACCATACTAACCCGTCGCCATTGAGGTCAGCGAGGCAGACAGCGTATCCGTAGGCAGAGGCGAGGCCCTCCCCGCGCAGCATGACCTCGGGCACGAGGCTGTTGTGCGAGTAGTTGACGGCGAGGAGCAGCACGGCTCCCATGTGGGCGGCTCGCGGCGCGCCCGCCACCACACTCGGCTCACCACGCCGCGCCACGTTGTTTGCCACGTCCACGGAGAAGCCTGGGCAAAGGGCGACGGGGCGCGACGGGCGCACCCCGTCGGCTCGCTTCAGAACACGCGGGGCACTCCTCGCTTTGCGTCTCTCAACTTGAACAATTTTTTTTTATGATTAATCATAAAAAAATTAACAGGTAAGGCCCACTTGAGCTGTGTACCTCTTTTTCAGAAGCGAGCTGGTCAAAAATGATCGTTCAACAAAGAAGTGGCTTATCATCACGTGGAAATGTATCGCAGCCAAATACTCGAAACGCGTGATGTTGATTCTAAATGTGGAGGGAAAAAACGGGAGGACCCGGAGAAAAATCCACACGACCACGGGGAGAGCGACACCGCAAACTCCAAATGAACCTTATGGCGGTACCCGGGGTACTACGGTACCCCGGCTCTCGCATAATGTCCGTGATGCAGTCATTTTTAGTCTGTTGATGGTCGGTGATGCGGCAATCGACTCATCTCGACGAGCTGTACTCACGATGCACCACTACGGTGCGTACGAGCGTTCAGGGTTTCAGCGCAATCGTCCTCACTGCGTTTCGACATCGTGGAGTAGCACTGATTTCGGATTGATTGGTACCCCAGTTGTGGAGTGAAGTACACCCCTGGAAAAAATAGTGTCCCAGAAATAAAACATTTAATTGCCTTGGTCATTTTGTATTATTTGGTACCCCGGGGTATTGCCATTCAGATCAAATATACAGCAAACATCAGGATCAGTATCGAACCCACGATCCTCGGTATACCAGCCAAGGGATTTAACATCTCGTCACAGTGGTGCCCGATAATGTAACGGCTAACGTTGAAGCTAATAACATTTTTGTATTTTAAATAAAAATTTAAGCAAGTGCATTGTGTTTTATCTGCGTTAACTGTACGTAGTTTTTAAACAATCAATTTCTTCCACTAAATTGGACTCTGATGACAAATGAAACTAACGGTAGTTACACCTTAAGGAAATGGCCCGTAACGAGAGTCTAGAGGCCTGGACGACAAAAAATACGTGTTTTGTCGTGAGCAGAAGTCCTATTTACATGGGGCCTGCTCAAATCAGGTTTGTGTATGAATTGAAACGTATGCAAACATCTGGCCCTAATGTACGGTATACTCACTGATCTACACATACAGGAAAAACATGCAAATGTTAACCTCGTAAAATGTTGAATGTTAACACAAGGTGTGGAGGATGATAAAAAGGATACTGTATACAGCAGGGTTTTCATTGATGGTAAAAAAATGCATGGATACATGATTCATGATATAATATTGCCATAATTATCTGGCTTTATTTGTGTCGTTAAGACTCCACCACAACCAATCACAGCCAAAGAAATTTAATTTCCATGTGTATAATGGTTTAAGTCGCCAATTATTTGTTAAGCTCGTCAGGTAAGGATAATTCTCTTTACCAAATTTAGCCATTATCTTACAGTGAGGGAAAAAAGTATTTGATCCCCTGCTGATTTTGTACGTTTACCCACTGACATAAAAATGATCAGTCTATAATTTTAATGGTAGGTTTATTTGAACAGTGAGTGACCGAATAACAAAAAAATCCGGAAAAACGCATGTCAAAAATGTTATAAATTGATTTGCATTTTAATGAGAGAAATAAGTATTTGACCCCTCTGCAAAACATGACTTAGCACTTGGTGGCAAAACCCTTGTTGGCAATCACAGAGGTCAGACGTTTCTTGTAGTTGGCCACCAGGTTTGCACACATCTCAGGAGGGATTTTGTCCCACTCTTTGCAGATCTTCTCCAAGTCATTAAGGTTTCGAGGCTGACGTTTGGAAACTCGAACCTTCAGCTTCCTCCACAGATTTTCTATGGGATTAAGGTCTGGAGACTGGCTAGGCCACTCCAGGACCTTAATGTGCTTCTTCTTGAGCCACTCTTTTTTTGTTGCCTTGGCCGTGTGTTTTGGGTCATTGTCATGCTGGAATACCCATCCACGACCCATTTTCAATGTCCTGGCTGAGGGAAGGAGGTTCTCACCCAAGATTTGACGGTACAGGGCCCCAGCCATCGTCCCTTTGATGTGGTGAAGTTGTGCTGTCCCCTTAGCAGAAAAAACACCCCCAAAGCATAATGTTTCCACCTCCATGTTTAACAGTGGGGATGGTGTTCTTGGGGTCATAGGCAGCATTCCTCCAAACACGGCGAGTTGAGTTGATGCCAAAGAGCTCCATTTGGGTCTCATCTGACCACAACACTTTCACCCAGTTGTCCTCTGAATCATTCAGATGTTCATTGGCAAACTTCAGACGGGCATGTATATGTGCTTTCTTGAGCAGGGGGACCTTGCGGGCGCTGCAGGATTTCAGTCCTTCACGGCGTAGTGTGTTACCAATTGTTTTCTTGGCGACTATGGTCCCAGCTGCCTTGAGATCATTGACAAGATCCTCCCGTGTAGTTCTGGGCTGATTCCTCACCGTTCTCATGATCATTGCAACTCCACGGGATGAGATCTTGCATGGAGCCCAAGGCCGAGGGAGATTGACAGTTATTTTGTGTTTCTTCCATTTTTTAATAATCGCACCAACTGTTGTCACCTCACCAAGCTGCTTGGCAATGGTCTTGTAGCCCATTCCAGCCTTGTGTAGGTATACAATCTTGTCTCTGACATCCTTGGAGAGCTCTTTGGTCTTGGCCATGGTGGAGAGTTTGGAATCTGATTGCTTCTGTGGACAGGTGTCTTTTATACAGGCAACAAGCTGAAATTAGGAGCACTCCCTTTAAGAGGGTGCTCCTAATCTCAGCTTGTTACCTGTATAAAAGACACCTGGGAGCCAGAAATATTTCTGATTGAGAGGGGGTCAAATACTTATTTCCCTCATTAAAATGCAAATCAATTTATAACATTTTTGACATGCGTTTTTCTGGATTTTGTTGTTATTCTATCTCTCACTGCTCAAATAAACCTACCATTACAATTATAGACTGATCATTTATTTGTCAGTGGGCAAACGTGCAAAATCAGCAGGGGATCAAATACTTTTTTCCCTCACTGTGTGTTAATAATTTTTACCGTGTCAAGTTAAGATTAGATACATGTCGGGCATTGAGCACAGGTGGGAATGGCAGAAGAAAAGAATGATGAAAGAGGGGCTTCAGATGTACGTACGCATGACATTGTAACACGGCGTATGCAGTAGCAGGGTGTGTGAACCGGTGCGTGTTTTGCCGTGCACACACCCATGTAGCTGTTTAAAGGGACTTTAATATGCTCAGGATCCTTTTCAGACTTAGTGGTGTAAACCGTTTCATAGGGTCCATCGTCAAAAATTCCATTCTCGTAGAGCGATGAGTTTTTGTGTGACATGGACACGAGACCTGTGTTGGGGATGAGAAACAGAAGATCCTTTGAGGTGGAGTCAGCAAGGTCACGACAGACAGCACTCACAACGCGCTCATGGGCGTACAGTAGTGTCTTCCGCAGTGAATTTCAAACATGGAAAGTTGATTTTTTTTTTACCAGAATGTGTTTCCCAGAAAGTTAATTTCCTCAACTTTACGGTAAACCGTACCTTATAGTTTTCAGTGGGAAATGGCCACTGGAAAGCCATACATATAAAGTCAACATTTAACCCCCCACTTTATGCTTACTTAAGGTCGTCCATCACATCCGATGATGACTTCCATTACTTCTTGTGGGTTCTCAATGGAACTCATAAAGTGCAGTAACGGATACCTGCGCGCTGAAATTATTTAGAGTGACGTGGGGGACGCGCTTGTCTCCACATCACTTCTTCGCTGTGGGGAATGGGGAAATGGACTCCAGTGGCAAGGATAAATTCCAAGACAACCAGCACCTCCCCACAGCTGCAGAAGGCTGCCAGTGCTCCAGTCTATTGGAGGACCGTCTGTCGCGGGCCGCCAGCACGTTGCTTTTCTCTCGGGGTGAGCTCCCCGAGTATGTTTGTCTTCCCAGACTAACCCACAAGGCAGCAGGGGCAGTGGTTGGCCGGTTCCAGGGCGTGTCCATGTAACGTGGGCCTGCACACCGCACCTCTGGGGACCACTGCAGCTCCCTTTTGCAGTACAATTGACCAACACATTGCATTCCGTAGGTGCATTACCATCTCGATTGTCGATCCAAATCCTGACATACCATTCAAATGCGCATTTGGATTCACCTCATTCCCAAGGCACAACCAAATCTACACCGCGTATGTCCTCAACAACACAAAACCATATTCTTAGTTTTTTCGGTAAAGTCACGTTGAAGGGAAACAACAAAAAATATATAAAACAATAAAAAATTCTCACGACGTTTCGACCATAACTCAAACGGTCATCTTCAGGTGTCTTGGTTTGCATAAAAAAAAAATTTAAACGGCACATTTATTTATTTATAAAAAACGTTAGCGCCACGCGCAACGATTTGGCAGTTTTTTTATAAATAAATAAATGCGCCGTTTAAAAATACATTTATGCAAACCAACACACCTGAAGACGACCGTTTGAGTTATGGTCGAAACGTCGTGAGAATTTTTTATTGTGTTTTATATATTTTATTATTTTGTTGTTTCCCTTCAACGTGACTTTACCGAAAAAACTAAGAATATGAATTACTGCAGTCATGAAAGCTTTAAATCAAAACACAAAACCAGTTTCACCGCACACGGCCACGGAAAGGTGCGTTCCTGCACGGACACGCTGCGCACAGTCCCGTAGCAGCCGCACGTTCATGACGACGGTGCCGTCGTCACCTCTCCAGTAGTGCGCGCCCGGTGACCCGAAGTAGAGGTAGTGGTAGTCACGGGTGAAGCCCGCTGCAGTGCCTTGCTGGCAAAAGCCGTACAGCGCGTACGACTCGCCGCGGTCCGAGCAGGCGTGCCAGCCGCCCCCCTCGGAATGGTCGTCCTGGTCGAGGCCCAGGGCCTGGCCCAGCACATAGCAACGGCCCACGGGACTGCGGATCTCCTCGGAGTTGCCCACGAATTTGCGCCGCTCGTAGCGGTGGGCGCATGCCTGCGCGGGACACAGGTTCGCACCCAGGGCCAGGCGCGGTGTCAGCCTCGCAGCGCGACACATGCCCCCCCCCCTCCACCACCGTTCGGCGGCACGCGCTCCCGGACATATTCCGCTCCGAAGGAAAGTTGGTTGGATCGTTATAGTCTGTTATGGAATTTTTTGTGTGTGGGATTCACAGCCAAATCAGTGGGTACCACACATGTTCACAGTGCTTTCCATCCTGTTCCGGTTGGAATGGTGTGGCTAAGTGCTTTCGTTGCGAATGTCATTAAACGAATGTAAAACGTACAAACCAACTTTCCTTCGGTCCGTATTGCACCTAATTTTCATTCTCTTGCAGGTAAGCCTCCTTGGAATGAGCTCGTGGGGCAAGAGCTCAGAACCGTCAGATTAATCCCGCACACATGCTGCTCCCTGGTGAGTGCGTGCGGAGGCATAAGAATGGTTACAATTAATATATAAATTTTTTAAAGCATGTCAAATTTGTAATATCTAACTCTTTGCTGCCACTATGATGGCCAAGTCTCCCTGGAAAAAGAGCTGCATATAGCTCAAAGGGCTTTACTCGGTAAATAAAGTTGTGAACTTCTGTCAGAACGTTGCTGGTTATCTTGAGTGGCCACATTTGCTAGACACCGGAATGTGTCCATCACCCTTTTCTTCCTCCACACATTTTCTCTTCACCCATTGCCCCCCCTGCCCCATCCCAAGCCACACACTCCGCCCCTTCCCACCTTCTCGTCTCCTCCCTACCAACCCCTGCCCTCTGTGGCCAATCAAGGAGTTTGATTTTCATTGGAGTATTTATGTTTAATATTTATGATATGCAGATGCTTGTGTGCACATCTGCGTGGATTTTCGTGGGTTTTCTGCCGTGCTCTCAGAAGTGTTTCTGGGTTGCATTGTTCAGAGTGAACCGGCACGTGCAGCAAAACGCTGGACATCGTGCCGAGCAGGTGCTGTAACCCGGAAACATCAGAGGCCTACATAATTGCACGGGTTTTTTTGTTACGTTTCTTTCTGTAATGTTATCTATATAAAACACCATTCAAGCACATTTGCATCTCAAATTGCTGTAGAATTTTAATCGCGCGCAGTTTTACTAATGGCGGCGCAAGGGGAAATCACAGACAAGCAGGAAGGCAGCCAGAACCGACATCGATCATTTCCCAGGCTCTGTCGACCTATATTCGGATATTTGGAATGCATATATAGTGTTACAACTCCAAACAACTCGAGTACGTACCGTAATTGTAATGCATGCCGTGTGATAACGCGAGAACGAGAGGACACAATCAGGTGCGAGAGCGCGAGAGGCGTGATTTCACGTTTTGGAGCCAACAGCGCACGTCTCGTGCAAGCTACAGCACCATAGTTTGCAGTAAGCATTCCTTCTGTTTTCATTTCACAACGAGTAGAACGTGTGAGTTGGATGAGTTAGTTATCTGCTACTTACAAGGACCTTGCCACCTGGACCCTGACTTCGAACCGTCACTCCCATCCATTGATTCTCTTTGCTCTCTTCCTTTGGGTCAACTGTCAAAGCACATAGAAACACACCCACATAGCCCATTCCAATCGATATTCAACCATCATGCTTTTTAAGAGTGTTTGGAAGGCAGTATGTGAATTAAAAGAGATAAACACAGTACCATTGAGTTTTTGGCCTTGCGCCCGTATGGAGTGAAGATTACGTTTATTACGAATTGAATGCAGCCCATATCATAAGGAAATGAGGATCCTTTAAAATCAGATTCATTACAAATGCCTCACATTTGTTAAAGGACATTGGTAAAACACATTAAAATACAACATGAGCATTGGTCTATTGAGCTTAGAATGCAAAATAAAACATCAAAGTATAGGGTCCTCATTGGTGGTAGAAGTGCCAGTTTATGTGTATATTTGACAGGTAAACAACTTGCGCATGTAGTTATGTGGCTTTGGCATCACGTCATTCTGGCACTCCCCAAGCCATTCCCCTAAATGGTGATTGATGCGATTGCACGTCATGGCTCAAAGTTTGTTTATTTGCTATCGTTGCCACTACCCCAACCAATACCAACTTTGGGCCATTTCTACAGTCGTGGGTAATGGTGAAATGGGTGCGTTTTTATGCAGAAGCAGTTGCACAAATTCGGGAACTTTCATGAATTAAAAAAATGGCTGTCATCCCACAAATAATGGCTGCCAAAATAGCTTCATGACCTGGGCCTACGGAATCTGGTTATAGGCAACCGCAACTCTAGGGATATTCCAGGAGTATTTTTACAAAACTAAATTCTTTGGGTATGCTGTACTTGAGTCCAAAAAGTTGAACAGTCCAGTATTTATACACCCACACCCAGACAATAGTTTAGCCCGTCTGGTCACTGTTACTCCAGATAATTTCACAATTTTCCATTGAATCTATCAACATTAATGTGAGCCCAGCTGTGGTCAATATAGAAACTGCTGCTAAATGTTTAATTCCACATAACTGCTACATTATGTATGTGTAGTGAGTCCAACTGAGTCGCAGTCGTCTTAGGGAGCAATACGTTTTATTAAACTATTAGCACAACATACTCCAGGCTATTAACAACATACTCTCGGGTGGTGACCACCCAACTAACCACGCTACGGCAGAACTAGACACGGTTCCACTATCCTGGGCCGGACCACAAGCTGGGTCCCGGACCGCGTGTCTGGAGGCTTCTTCAAGCTTGACGTGGATCTCCTGCCTCTCCAACACTAAGAACCCCGAGCCCCTCTCAGGGCCCCCCTTATATCGGGCCGGGCTGGGGCTGGCTCCGCCTCACGCCCCACCCACCTTCTCGATCTCTCTCGCCCTTGCCCGAAGGCTCTCGAGAGTTCTTCTTGGACCATGTGACCACCCATTGGCCCCCTCCACCGGTGACCCCCCTCCAGTATCATCCAGTCAGCCAGAGTATCATGCCCCTAACGTAACCCTAGCTGGCTGACACTCTCTCGCTCTCTCAACGGGAGCCCGCACCGCACGCTGTGCGTGGTGCCAACGCACTTGACCAACACTCACCCAAGCCCCCACTAGGGCTGGTACTACACACAACAGTATACATCCCGCCGGGGCCTCGCAGGCCCGGCACCACACGGTGACATTCCCAGTCACTACATATGTGTAGTGTCAACGATTCAGAGAGTTTCTAGGAGGCACTTTATTAACAACTTTCACGGTCTCGTCCGCACACTCAACAATAGCTCAGCCTAGCCTGTACATAACACTAGCCGTCTAACACTGACCGCGCTAACTGAGATAGCCAACTACTCTCCTTCAGCGCAATATCTAGCGGAGACGTTTAGCGATGACGGCGACGAGACGACAGCAACAACGAGACGAGTCCATTCCCAGAACCGGCAGCCCCGAGCCCCCGCTCTCGGCTCCTTTAATGCTACCAGCGCGGCCTGGCTCCGCCCTGACCGCGCCTCCCTTCTCGAACCCGCTAGCAGGTTCCAGGGGCCTCCAGATGGGGTCTTCCGTGACCCTTACCCTAGTTCCTCCGCTCTGCTAATACACCCGTGCTCAAGCTCACTGATGTGTGCACTGTATGTCCACCACAGTTGCCGCTACTGTCCACCAGTCAGCGCTATTATGCGACAGATGTGTGTTTTCTTGTATTCTCACGTTTCAATATGTAATTTAAAATATTGTATTGGTTTGGTACATTTTAGATTTTCGTGACTGCAGGGATCCATACTCTTTGGTTCTTTCTGTAAAGTCACGTAGGTATAAAATAAAATAAAATTGGTACATGATACAGCCTAAATCAGTTACATATCCGAACAAATAATATTACTATTGAGATTTGACCATACGCTACGGTAGTTCACTTACTTTTCAGGACCAGCTGTACCGATAATTAGTATTATTTCTTATTTATTACACGTGCAATTCTGGGTGAACAGAATACTCACCATGGTCGTCAAATGTTAACCTTGAGCAGTCTCCGGGCTGCTGGGTGATGGGACAGGCGTAGATACCACCTGATCTTCGTGCAGCTTGTCGAGGAAGACCTTCCGCCTGAGGGGCCCCCACCAGCAATCTGCAGAACGACGGCCAAGCATTACGATTGGCCACCACCACGGGACATCCTCGAAAAAAGCTGTTCACCACTGTAAGGTGATCAATCTGCCTGCACCGTTAAACATTGTGCGCAGTGTTTGTCAGTTTATGTAGTGCCAATCCCAGGGGAACTCATTGAGCAGATCGATTTGAAGAGCAGTCGGTTAAAGCAGTCATGGCGGTGGCGTGTGTAGCGGCGTGTGTAGCAGCATGTGTGAGTTCTGCGTGAGTGTAAACTGTGCGTGAGAATGTGTGAGAATGTGAGTGAGAATGAGCTGTGTGAACTGCGTGTGAGTGTGTGTGAGTGAGCCGTGTGTGTGAGGGTGAACCGTGTGTGAGGGTGAACCGTGTGTGAGGGTGAGCCGTGTGAGAGTGAGACGTGTAAGCCATGAGAGAGAGACGTGATTATAATACTTGTGTGTTGTAAGGGCCATTGTTAGTGGGTGGTATTTTTGTGGTTGCGGCAAATTTATTATCCAGTAGTGATTTGCTACTGTCTTGTAACGGTGTCGCTTATTTTGTGTTTTGGTGGTTAGTGAGCATTTTCCCAGCGGGCGTAACTAGGTAAGGCCGTAGGCTTTCAGTTACCGTAATGGCTTGTGCTTTACCGGGTAAGGTGAGCTTTCCCTGGTGGGAAAAACTAGATAAGACCATAGGCTTCCAGTTACTGTAGCGGCCTAGTGCGTGCTCCGTCCACTGCTGCCCTGAGGGAGAGCCGTGCTCCGTCCACTGCTGCCTTGAGGGAGAGACGCGCTCTATCCACTGCTGCCCTGAGGCAAAGCCGTGCTCTGTCCACTGCTGCCCTGAGGCAAAGTCGTGCTCTCTCCGCTGCTGCCCTGAGGGAGAGACGCGCTCTATCCACTGCTGCCCTGAGGCAAAGCCGTGCTCTGTCCACTGCTGCCCTGAGGCAAAGTCGTGTTCTCTCCGCTGCTGCCCTGAGGGAGAGCCGTGCTCCGTCCACTGCTGCCTTGAGGGAGAGACGCGCTCTCTCCGCTGCTGCCCTGAGGGAGAGCCGTGCTCTTTCCACTGCTGCCCTGAGGCATGGCCGTGCGCCGTCCACTGCTGCCCAGAGGAAGCCCCGTGCTCTCCACTACTGGCTTGAGGGAGAGCCGCGCTATCTCCACCGCTGCTGTGAGGGAGCCAGACTCTCTCCACTGCTGCCCTGAGGCAAAGTTGTGCTCCGTCCACTGCTGCCCTGAGGGAGAGCCGTGCTCCATCCACTGCTGCCCTGAGAGAGAGTCGAGCTCTCTCCACTGCTGCTGCCCCGAGATGTCGCGGGCGCTGCCCCAGAGCAAGGAGGCACTGCTGCAGTCGTTTAACAAGCGGCTCAAAGGACGACGTGCGCTCCATCCTGGAAAACTTCACGAAGATCGTCAAGACGGCCAAGGGTCGTGAATGAAGAGTCCCCTGTGTGGGCTTCAGTGGGGCCGTCTGGTCGGGAAGCAGAGACACGAGAGGCCAAGAAACGACATTCCAGTCGTGGGCTTAGCTCAAGGAGGGCTAGCTCGAGCACCATCCTGCGGCGGGGAAAGGAGGCGGTGCAAGCGGTTCAGCCGAGCCCACAACAGCCAAGAATCTGCTGTCCCTGTCTGGGGGGGGGGGCTGTTCAACCCTAGCACATGGGCGAGAAGCCGTGCATGTGTGACGAGTGCGGCAAGACGTTTTTCTCGCGCTCGGCCTACAAGTATATATTTTTTTCTATTCCGCTTGTGTGTTAATCTGTGTATACCCTGGATATTTTAAAGATGGCAATTCTCCTGCTGTGTATCATACTGCTGTCCCTCCCGGCCATATCTAGTGCCACACTCAACTCTACAAACGGCTACCCTCGTTACTTTGTGTCCATACTTGTTGCTCGATTTACCACTACACCTGCAAATGAAGCAGCTCATAGACACTTCTACACTCCATCATTGTATCCTTTTAAACCCTATCTTTATCCCATTACTTCACCAGCACTCCTTCCAAATTTCATTCTACTCTTAAAAATAACACCATCTGCGAGCTGCTGCTATTCGTCCAAGGTTCATCGCTCTTCATCCTTTCACAGAAAATACTTGTGCAAACTATGAATTCTACTTTTATTATTTCTGGGTGGTATTGAGCTTCATCCTGGCCCAAATGTAAAGAACTCGTATAATGCTGTAGATTTTTCTGGCAGAAAAGGTGTTGGTGTTCTACATCAGAGGGCTTGTGATTAAATTAAGTCAACTAAAACTAGAAGTGGCAAATCTTGACCCCGACATTTTTTGCCTAACAGAAACATTTCTCACTCCTGCCGTCAATGACTTGCAGATTACGATTGACAACTACAACCTTTTTCGGCTTGACCGATGATCTAAAGGAGGTGGAATTGCCATCTATGTTCGTAATACTATTGCATGTTCACCAGCTCACTCCTTGTTTAAAAAATGTTGCTTAGAAGGTTTGGCTCTCAGAATAACTCTCCCAAATAATCAATAGATATTGGTAGTGTGCTACTATAGACCACCTAGTGGGAAGGATGTTGAAGCTGCATCTGCACTGAGAGAGCTTTTTGGGGACCTCCATAAAGGTGAAATAGTTTTAGTGGGTGATCTAAATTGGAATTGGCTAAACCCGCCGGCCATGGCCACAAATTTTACAGATGAATTTAACCTGTTTCAATTAATAAATGCCCCCACAAGACCCAACCTAAAAAATCCGGGACAGTCAACTCTGCTTGACGTCCTATTGACAAATGTCCCTCACAATTTCGCACTGACTGGTGTTCTGGGAAATAACCTTAGTGATCACTCCTTCATTTTTGGGGTGAGATCATCAGCCAGACCCAAAGCCCCCCCTAAAATTGTAGAGAAGCACTCTTTGAGGCACTTCAGCACTCAGGCATTTACTAATGATGTGCTTCACTCGGATATTGACAAGGTCTGTGATATCCCCAACCTGAATATGGCTTGGGAGACTTTCAGGTACACGTTTCTCCAAATTCTTAACAAACATGCTCTGTTGGTTAGATTTAAAACTAAAGGCAACCGCCCACCATGGTATGATCCTTTGATTACAAAGCTCATGAAAACTAGGGACAAGGCTTGGGCATGTGCTCAGAAAAGTAATTTGGTAAATGACTGGCTAGAATACAGGATTTTAAGGAATAGATGCGTCAAAAAAATACGGCATGCAAAAAATGCCTACTTTTCCTCCACTCTCCTGGAATCACATGGAAATGCCAGGATTTTTTGGAAAACAATCAAATGTATCGAAAAGGCATCCAAAACAGGCAATCTGCCCGTTGAGCTTAACCGAAATGGGGAATATTTTTCAGATCCCCAAAAAATAGTTGACAATTTTAACCTAAATTTTTCTGAAGCTGGTAATCTTTTTGATAATGTATTGGGAGTCACCCCTGCTCATGCAAATTCCTACACCCCTGTCCAAACATTAAACGAATTTAGTTTCCAGCCAATCCACGAAAGTAATGTTCTGAAACAACTGTCCTACCTCAAAGAGTCCTCCTCTACCGGAGCAGATAGTTTTCCTGTCTTTGCTCTACTAACTGTTGGTCACCTAATATACAAACCTATAGCCCATATTTTCAACCTTTCCATCAAAGAAGCATCAGTTCCTCTCGAATGGAAACATTCCTATGACCGTCCACTTCACAAAGGGGGCCCTAAAGATGATCCCAATAACTACCGACCTATCTCAATGTTGTCCCCATTGCTGAAAATTTTTGAAAAACTATTGAACTACCAAATTAGCAGTTTCCTGTCCACCAACAATCTACTACATCTAAAACAATCTGGGTTCCAAAAAAAATACAGCACCACATCTGCTGCATTAGACTCTCTGAATCAAATTTACAGTATCCTTGATAATAAGCAGTACTGTGCCTATCTTTTTCTTAACCTGTCCAAAGCTATTGATACAGTAGACCACAACACCCTGCTTAGTAAACTAAGTTGCCTCGGTTTTTCCGAAAACACAGTAAAATGGTTAAAAATTACCTCTTTTCTTGCACCCAAACTGTATTCACAGATGGTTGGAGGTCAAACAGTGGTAAGATAACAAAGGGGTTCCACAGGGTTCCATCCTCGGCCCCCTCTTGTTCTCTCTTTATGTCAATGACTCGGGCACTGACCTGGATCATTCCAGGGTAAATCTTTTTGCAGATGACACGATACTGATTACTGCTGGCCGCTCTCCAGATGACGTGATTGCTAAGCTCCAGGGTGATTTCAACAAACTACAACATCAGCTAGTTGATCTTAAACTAGTCCTGAATACCTCCAAAACCAAGGTGCTATGCTTCTCACCGGGACTAAAGCAAGAAATTATTTTTCCCCAATTACATTCCTTAAATAATTATCAAATAGAGCAAGTCAAGATCTATAAGTATCTTGGGGTCATCCTGGATCCAAAACTGAATTTTGAAGATCACATTGATTATATTGGTAAAAAGACAAAAATAAAAATTGGTTTTCTGTATCGACACAAGCACTGCTTCCCCCCTATGTTCCGTTTGGAATTGATAAAAGCTACCATACTGCCTCTACTTGATTACTGTGATATCGTGTATAAATCAGCCCCAAGCACTGCACTGAAGAAGCTTGATTCCATCTATCACTCGGCCTTAAGATTTGCATTGAACTGCCCATATAGGACTCACCACTGTGATCTCTACATTGGGTCAAACTTAACATCTCTTAATGTTCGACGGCTTGTGCACCAGATCTTATTTATTCACGATTACCTGCTGGATCTCCTCTCTGTTTCAAAGAACAAATTTGACCTCTGGTCTTCGCTCATTTACCAGCTTCACATTCCCTATTGCCGTACAAAAACCGGAGGAAGGGCCTTTGCTATTGATGCCCCCAGGGTCTGGAATGCTATTGCCAATAAACTGCAACTTAAATCACTACCTATGAGATCTTCACTCAAAACTGCTCTAGAGGAGTTGTACACCCCTAGCTGCCTCTGCTATTCAGTGGCCTAAAATAAAAT